CGTGCCGGCGAGGGCCCGCGGAGAAGCGCGTCGTGCGCGGAGGCGGGCGGGGTAGGGCAGCCATGCGGGGAACCCGGTCTGCGAGACCTGATGGGGGAGCAGAGCTTTTTCCCTGGCACATCTGGGGAACGATTATTTATTGTTTAAAAGGCAGCGGGGTGTTGGCTCCTCGGAGCGGAGTGCCCGACGTCAGGCTTGTGCGAACCGCTGGTAGCAGAGACCTCTGCCTTGCCCGGCAGCAGCCCTGACATTTAAAACCTCTGTTGGTGAAACGCTGCTTCCCGTTCGGGTTGCATCCAGCCGAGAAAAGTTGCTGAGATCTGGGTCCTGTGTCATCCCGAGAGAACGCGTGTTGGGAATGCTTGTGAAAACCGGGAGGGAATAGGAAAGGGAAACGGAGGGGGAGACTGCAGGAAGAAGATAGGAAGGTGAAGACGTGCTGTTCTCCTCCCTTCCTCTCCATGTCCCTTTGATTTTTTTCTCATTTTTCTAGCTCTTCTCTCCCCCTTTAAACTTTTCAAGTTTTCAATTAGTAAAATTTTCTTAGAGTGGTTGTTTCAGCTGTCACTAAAGCACAAACCCTTTCTTGTGAAGTCAGCTCTCACTAGCATTTGCCAGGACGCGTTGCTTTTGGAGTACGGCTGATTCAGCAGAGTGAGGCGGTGGGGGACTAGCAGCAGCCATGGCTGCTGGCGAGGTTGGAGTCTCCGGGCTCTCCCCGTCGGGCCTTGGCATGAGGGGCTGAAGCTCTTGGAATGGAGTTCCAATGCGGAGGGTGTATGTCCCAACTTCTCACCCTCTGCCTCCTACTGCTTACTTGTCAAGGTGGAGAAGAGGCATGTGAGGGGAGGATAAAGCCTAGGAACACAGAGATTCATCTGGCAACTCTCATATGCATTCTGATTTTAGGTAGAAATAAGTTCTCGGCAAAACTGTTACTTTTGCTCTGGGCATATGTGCAACAAAGGGCTGTTGTGACGGTCGAAGTGACTGAAGCATGAAAGACTAATTTCCAGTCCTAGTGAGGATCATGAATTCACGGAAAAGTCTTCAGCTGCTCTTTGAAGAGGCCAAGCTTCTTTTCCAATAACTTGACCAGTATTTTTTGTTAGAATTGTTGAAAATATTTTTTTCAAAATACTCTTTGTTCAGAATATATTCGCTGAAGAGCAGTTTGCTCTTTGTGGAAAGAAATGTGCATCACAGTATCCCACTGAGGCAGCCTGCATAGTAGTATTTGAGGCGGCCAGGATATTTGTCAGGGGTTAAATTAATAAATAAAGCAAGTGAGCTTGCTTCTTATATGCAAAATAAAATGCAAAGTAAGACACTCAAAACTCATTAACGTATCTGCAGACAATAAAAGCTTATTAAGCATTTTGGGGAAAGGACAGCTGAAGTGGAGCTGCAGCAGCTAGTACAACTAGTATCTGTTGGAAAGACATCTTTTTAGGTAGAAATTACTAAGTTCATGGGACCCATGTAATGCTACTAAAGAGGCATGAGCCATTTTAAGTGTGATTAGTTTCCTTCTTTCTTGTACAGATTACCAGAAAATGCCTCAGTTCCCACGTGGAAAGTTGTATCTTGTTCACTGGCTTACGGTCTTGTTAGATAAGCTAACTGAGGAATAATAGCTTGTGAAGGGACTAGCTTCTCTTTTTTGTCTGGTTGATTTTGGAGGGTTTTTTTGAGAGGATACCAGTAACAAGATAATGAACTTGACCTGCCAGTCAGAAGCTCGGCTGCTTGTGCTTTCCCATAGATGACATGATGTCCTGGTTTCAGCTGGGATAGAGTTAACTGTCTTCCTAGTAGCTGGTACAGTGCTGTGTTTTGAGTTCAGTATGTGAAGAATGTTGATAACACTGATGTTTTCAGTTGTTGCTCAGTAGTGTTTAGACTAGAGTCAAGGATTTTTCAGCTTCTCATGCCCAGCCAGGGCACCTGACCCAAACTGGCCAACAGTGTATTCCATACCATGGGACGTCCCATCTAGTTTAGGACCTGGGAAGTGGGGGGGCAGGGATTCGCCGCTTGGGGACTGGCTGGGTGTCGGTCGGCGGGTGGTGAGCAATTGCCTGTGCATCATTTGTACATTCCAATCCTTTTATTACTACTGTTGTCATTTTATTAGTGTTATCATTATCATTATTAGTTTCTTCTTTTCTGTTCTATTAAACCGTTCTTATCTCAACCCACGAGTTTTACTTCTTGTTCCCGATTTTCTCCCCCATCCCACTGGATGGGGGGGAGGGAGTGAGCAGCTGCATGGTGCTTAGTTGCTGGCTGGGGTTAAACCACAACACATGGAAAAAAATCAAACCTACTGGACACACTCTTCCCAGGAAACCCTCTTCCCAGGAAACCATAAATTAGACTGGAAAATACAGTAAACCCCCAGACATGCCCTAGGGTTGGCACCTGCCTTCCTGGACCATGTTACTGGTGTGTCTTGTGTGTTGCTGGCAGTCGGCATTTAGGAACAGGAAGGAGTTCTCTCTGTCTGAGGGGATCGTTTCTGTGAGCCTCAAAAGGCCTGTATGCTTCATCACCTTCATCACGCTCTGTAAATTAACAACAAGGGGTAAACTTAGAAGATAAGCATATTCATGGAATCGATAATATATTAAATCTCTATCTGTATGTAAGACACAGATTGTAAAAGCAGATCCAGCTTGTTCAGATTTGCTCAGTTAGAAAATTAAGTGACATCAAGCCTAACCTTTTTAAATATGAAAATTACTAAAATAGCATTCTTATTACTTGCTAACATCTTACCTCAGACTGTCCATTTTCATAAGCTAAGCAGCACATAGTTAATTCTTGCCTGGGAAAGTGCCAAGGAAGATTTAAATATGAAAGGAAATGTTGCTCATGCAGTAAGTAGGATTCTCTTACCAAGTTATTATTAGCAATACATAACTGTCCCATCACACTTTGGAAAAACCTTAGGATGGCCTTAGCTTTAGACTGTCTCAAGTCTTGGTATTTTCTGGCAAACTGATATCCTGCAGAGTACCATTTGTGAGTGTAAGGGTATTTGTTCCAATGCCTGGTCCAAATTCTGATCAGGGTTCAAAGAGACACCTCTGTCTGCTGTTTAGATGCCCAACAGAGATCAGGCACATTTGCCTGTCCAGTCCTGAAAACCTGGCTCTTGTACTTGCCACGTGCCTGTCTAACTCGGATGCTTTGTCAGTTTTAAGTTTATTGTACTGCATAAAAACTAAGCATAAAATGTTACTGTTTCAAAAGTGGTTTGGTGTGGCTAAATGCCATGAGCGAGCAAACAGCTGAAGTAATGTTTTCAAAACAAGATGAAACCAGGGAAAAGCATCTGATACATGTTTTCCATGTAAAATTAATTAGGTCAGTGCAATAAAAAAAACAAAGACCCAGAAGTCATGCAGTGATTTGTGCTCAATCTTAACTCTGCCCTCCATCTCTCAAAAAATTCTCTTGGAAGCCACTTCTTTCTTGCTTGCACTTCTCTCTTACACTCCCCTCCTTTAATTCTCTCCTTCTCTCTTTGGTTTTGCTGTGTTGTGTTTAGACATTAAGGAATTTTATCCTGCTGTTATGAGTTTATCCTGTTATTAGAGTTTATATGTAGGTACCAACCTCTTTCACACCATTTGCCTAACGTATGTGTACTCTCTTTCACGTGTCCTAATACATGACATACATGTTCCTTACCTCATAACTGTGTATTCACCATGCACCCAGAAGTGCTTGTTCATCTCCAGTGGGCTGATGGTGGGGGATCGGCCAAGTAATACCAGAAAAATCAACATTCTTTGTAGCCCATTTGCTGCACGCTTTTGAGATTCCTTGGAGAAAGAAGGCAATAGAAATCACACTGCTGACCTGGCCCATTGCCCCGGTAGGCCATACACTGCCCATGAGACTGATACCTGACTCTAAGGTATTAGGAAAAAAAAAAAAAGAAAAAAAGGCGGCACAACCTTAAAGACCTGAAGTCTTTTAGAAACTATGGTGTTTATGGCTTGTTCTTTCTCCTTTTCTGGTTACATAGTTACATATAACCCACTTTTAAAACCTGACATCTTATTTCTCTTACTAGTGTATCTGATTTCTACTTACAAGCACAAAACTTCCTTATGCCTTTTCCTACCACAAATCTTTTTTTGCAGTAATCTCTTGTAAAATATGATCGTGATACCATTTACCTTTTTCTTAGGTAAATGGAATGTATTGAGACTCGCTCTATGTACCTCAACCCTTCTTCTAAAAAGGGAAAATACTTGACCAGCTATAAGGTCAACTGTGGAGTTTTCTGCACTTT